GTTTTTAAAAAAATCAACCATCTAGATAAATTATCCAATTAAAGTACTTACATAAAAAGAATTACCGATATCGAATATCAGATGTAACATTTTCGTTATTAATTAAATAACCCCCACTTTTTCTTAATATATCTTGATCAGCAATTAAAAATTGAAAGTCGCCATCAAAATGTGTAAAAAGCATATAATCTGTTGAAGTACTAATCTGTTGAACATCACTAATAGGCTCTGAAAAGTTGAACTCAGTTCATGGATAAATAATAGCACTCAATTGTATAATAAAAAGTATGTTTGTGAGTTTCACTATCGTCTTCAGTAAGTTCATTAAATATTAATGAACCATAATCAAATATTAATGTTAATTTGGATATTAATGAACATCGAAATGCGTCCACGACATTTCTTGTCACCCTATGTTGATAACAAAAATGAATTATTAAACAGTCCTCAATGTATAACATCTCAGTAATTTTCAAAGTAATATCTTATACGTTTTCTTGAAATTTAATATGCGTTAAATTTACTTGTATGAACAAATTAATGAATTGTTTCAATATGATATGAAGTATTTTGAGATGTTAACAAGTGTGTTTTACGAAATGTCATTGTTTTTTCTATAAAAAAAAGTACATTCATGTAAGTGCTCGCTGAAAATGCCCTTGTTTTGTCTTTTTTCCTTCTTAACTTTTGTTTGCATTGTGCCTTTTTGTTGTATGCATTATTTTAATAATCCGATTATATTTTTTTCAAATTTTTGAAAGATAAACAGACATTTGACGCACTGAAATACATGTGTGATTGTGTTCCACCAAGCAGTTGCTTTAGAGTTTTAGAAATTTTGTCTTATATCAATCCTGGATAACACGTGGTGCCTTTGATTTTGAATAATTGTAGAATAATTATTGTTTAACCTGATTGTAGTTTAAAATAATGAATAAGTAAATGTTTTCTCTTATTGTTTACTCAAAACATTAGGCGTAGAGTAAGTCATTGTTGAATATGCGACCCAGGTCGATATTTAGAAGAGCAAACTAATAATACTTTGATTTTGAACAATCGTAGAATAATTATCATTTAACCTGATTGTAGTTTAAAATAATGAATAAGTAAATCTTTTCTCTTATTGTTTATGCAAAATATTAGACGTAGAGTAAGTCATTGCTGAATATGCGACCCAGGTCAATATTTAGAAGAGTAAACTAATAATACTTTGATTTTGAACAATCGTAGAATAATTATCGTTTAACCTGATTGTAGTTTAAAACAATAAGTAAGTGAATCTTTTCTCTTATTGTTTATGCAAAATATTAGACGTAGAGTAAGTCATTGTTGAATATGCGACCCAGGTCGATATTTAGAAGAGTAGACTAATAACACTTTGATTTTGAACAATCGTAGAATAATTATCGTTTAACCTGATTGTAGTTTAAAACAATAAGTAAGTGAATCTTTTCTCTTATTGTTTATGCAAAATATTAGAGGTAGAGTAAGTCATTGTTGAATATGCGACCCATGTCGATATTTAGAAGAGCAAACTAATAATACTTTGATTTTGAACAGTCGTAGAATAATTATCGTTTAACCTGATTATAGTTTAAAACAATAAGTAAGTAAATCTTTTCACTTATTTTTTACTAATGACATTAGAAGTAAAGTCAGTCATTGTTGAATAATGCGACCCAGGTCGATATTTTGAAGAGCAAACTAATAATATCCACACTAATAACAAGGAAATCCGGACATATATCTGTTAGGGAACCAGATATATGTGTATTCTGCAAAGACCATTTTTGATAATATTTTCAGAATCCTCATCAAAAAAGAAAACAAAAAGTACGCAGTTTGAGGTTACAAATTAATATTTAAATGAGGGGAAAACTTTATCAAAATCTAACAAATTACAGTAGAAAATAAACATCTAACAGGATTCAAGAGTAGGTTGAAACTTGAAGGTGCTTCGAATAATAGTATTTCTAACTCTTTTTGTTTTCTTCTGCAATCAACGTGTCTTGTTATTTATTAGATTCGCAATCCTATTCTGTGATTTGCCTGATTTCGATAACATTTTCTTCGCTTAAATATTAACTTGAAAACCCTTTCAAACTGGAACACTTTATTGTTTTAATTTTTCTAAGGATTCTGAAAATACATCTTAAGGGCAGTCGTTACAGTATACCCTTTATTTATTTTTTAATGCGACTTATGAACCAGTACAAATGTGCCATCTTAAGCAGATGTTTTGAAAATTTTTTTTTGGTGCTCTTATAAGTTCTGGAATCCAACAAAGGTAGACAAATCTATCGTTTAGTTAAAGAGACAATTTTGTTTACATGTCTCCGCTTAATGTGATCGCAGTTAATGTTATCAACCGTTCATTGTTATAAAAATCACCCTGTCTGAATTTTCTCTATTTTGTTGCATGTTAAAATTAGCGCTTTTTATTTATTGTTTCATCTTAGCAGTGCCATTATTTATTTTTCGGAAATCTTCTTAATTGATAAAAAAACATTAACTGTAAAAACATCGTGTCATTAAAGCAGTATTAGATATTATCGAAAATAAGTCAACGCAATGCTGCAACATATTTAAACATCTCATAACCACTACTTTGCAAACTTTTCAATACTAATTAAGACCATATGAGAAGAGACACTAAAAATGAAAATGCAGTGTGTTACCGCCATAGAACTGGTAAAGATGAGCAAGTTGAAAAAGCTCTTAAGAATACGGTTCGAAAATGTTTGAGAACGTGATGTTCTACTTTCGCAGCAAAAAATAGAAAATTTAGCAGCTTAAATAGTCAAAAAGGATTTTGTTGCAACAAACGGTAGCTTCCAGCATTGTAAAAAACGTGAAAACATTGATTTCATTGGTATACAGTCGGTAAATTTAATAAATTTCGTGATTCATTTATTGTTATCAATCGGTTAATGTCATCAACATCATCAAAGTGATCAAAATAAACAAAAACAACTTTACTGTACATTTTGGTATTTGGTTCAGAAATTAGTTTCGCCGATATTTGAGATGAAAATCACATTAAATAGCATTTCTCTTTTAGGATTGGAATAATTATCTTAATTGTTAAAACAAGAAGCTGAGCTCTAACGTAGCAATTTCAAATTTTCCTTATTACTAAAAGCAACAACAGACAACATAGATTTACAAATTCATAGTTACCTGAGTTATAAATAAGAATCACTCCAAAAGTTCTGAATAAATTAAATTTAAAAAACAAATATATTCTCTAAAAGAAATATGTTATTTGATATCTGCGTAAAAACATTCCCATTTAAAGGAAATGAGATATTTCTCTCTACGTTTACATGGCATAGAACTTGATTTCTCCCTGCAGGAAATTTTCTTTCCTTTTTTGTGACGATGAAGAAAAAAAAAATAACTTGAGGGAACTGCAGTCAATAAAAACGAAGTCTCACATGATGAATGATATAACCTCACATCGTTTAATGGTATTATAATTGCCCGTAAGTTTCCATCTCTTCTTTTTCCGATCTATCGATGCATCGACAGGAAAAAAAGAAGTTTTTCACGAAGAGGTAGCCGTTTTTCGGATAATTTAGCTTACGGGTTAAGCATTACGTGCCATCAGCAATTTTAGATGAGTTTGGAAATGGAAAAGGGGAAAGAAAAGCCTTCAATTTCTAGAGTTTGGATCTAAAGTTGACTGGAGAGGTTTTGAATTTTTAAGCGTCACGATTTCTTTGGAATACCATAATCCAGATCAGATGTTTAAATTTTAATTTATGTTTTATACCGCAACTAAATAAGTTAAAACGTGATTTGAATGTTTCTGATTTTACAAATGACACTCACTTAATAAATAGTTAATTTAAATACTCACTTAATTATAGTTTTTGATATATTTTTTTTAAAAATAAACGATTCTTCACTTTAGAACTTGATGCTTTACTAACTCTCTGAAAAACTCTGAAAATTGTGTGAATGAATACTTTATTTCAAGTTAATACCGAATGCGTTCATGCATACTTCAAAGGGTGTGTTCAAATCTAGGCATCAATTATTGAGAGCGTTTACACCAAGCTCAGATGCATTTACTCCACTCATGAATTAACACCGACAGTTTTGGTGCACTTTTAGAAACTGTCAAATTAAAACTGTAGATGTAAAGTAAAAGTTAGTGGCTGCTTAACATTTCGCAGAAGCAGAAGTTAACTGTTGTAAAAGGCATGTAATGTTTTTAGTTGTGTAATAAAGATATTCTCATACGAAAATTTACATAAAGATTCTGCCAATTGTATTGAATTATTTTATTTCCATTCTCTTTTGTTAAGTAAAATTTATAGCTGATACTTTATACCAAGCAGTAGGGAAGAAGGGTTCATTTTCAAAAAAAAAAGAAAAAAAGAATTAAGATAATTTTTCACTCAAGCATTATTTTAACATACATTTGAATGATTACACATCATCTTGTTTATATCAGGAATTACAAAGAAGCTTACTTTTTCCATAATAATCGTTTGAGAAAGATTGTTTTTGTCTAAACTAACTCCACTACACAAGGGACTATTCTTATCAAGAAAGTAAATAACATCTACAATAGCCCCACGAAGATACATGTTTTTTTATGCTGGCAAGTGTACAGAGAAAAGGTTAGTGACAAAATTGGTAAAAAACCGCATAATTTATAAAACAATGTCCCCTCTTACTGAAATTTTGAAAATAAAATGCGTTCATAAAAAGAAAATTTAAAAGTTACTTTAGAAATTTAAAAATTTTCTTTTACAAATTTCTGTTAAAATATTCATGGTCTGATTATGTAATTGCACTCCATCTGGTTGTGCAATAGCATGATTATGCAATTGCATATTTCACAGAGGAGGAAGTTTGACTCATAAATAAAAAGTTATTCAAGATGTCCACTTTTGTCCCCACAAGCCTCCTTTTTGCAGCGTAGAAGGTAAAACAAATAAACAAAATTTAGCCAAACTAGACGTAAATAAAATAACTTAGAGCTGTACCCGTTTGATTTTGCATCCAAGAGCCGGCGTACATTGCTGTTTGAGGTGTTCTTCCAATGTGAGGGACTGATTTGTGGCATCATCTAACATGGTTATGAAAGGATGAAATAAAAGTTCCAAAACGCAGGGACGGTGTTCCGCGTTTCTTTCCAGGCACCTAAATTATGAAAAAAAAACGCATCTATGGCATAAAAGATACATTTAAAGATAAGAGTTTCAGTTTGATAAGACATTGGGAGAGTTCCCTTACAAAAATGCTTTTGGAACACGCTCCAAACTTTAACTTTTGAAATGAAAGCAATAATCTAACTGCTGACTTTTCGATTGATCTAGTTCATAGTTTCAGCATTATTCTTTATTTGCAGATAAGCTTTCATTAGTACTTTAAATAATTCTGTAAGCAAACCTACGACAGCAACCACAACGGAAAAAATTTAAATCTTAAAGTACAATAAAATTCAATTCACGATTTTAAAAAAAAAAAAAAAAAACGTGGAGAACATTCTTTCTAATCTGGGTTGAGCTCTTTGCTTAACATGCACCAATCAGATTCGCAATTTCTAAATCCATACTTTCTATGAATTTTTATTTTGATGAAAAAGTTACAATAAAAAACAGAAATTATTGTTTCGCGTTGTATTATTTGTATACAGAAATTATTGTCACAATAAAAAACAGAAATTATTGTTTCCCCCAGCGTTGAAAGTTTTAACAGAAATTATTTTCAAAATATTTTAATTTGAATTAAAGTAGTTTGTTTATAACAAAAACAGAAAGATAGAATATCTTAACTCTTCTCTTAATTTTATAAGACCTATCAAACTTTATTTGATGTTTCGATTGGCAGCGTCAGAACATTTTGGAACACGCCTAAAGAAGTCCAAGCCAGGGAACTCACCCATTAAATATGAAATGCACACATTATTTATCATTCTGTATTTTTAGAAATTTCGGAGCAAGTTGAATTATAGTATAGATCTTAGAAATTTTCTGAAAATTTAATAGGGTACGAATTTGACCCACTTTATTGTATTTTTTTAAAATTATTTATACAATAATATGATTCAACATGGACAATTGAAAGGAGTTTAATTTCATTGAGATTGCAGCAGATGGGCAACGTTTTATTATTCAAAACAATGCTATTATGATTCAACATCGAACCTACTTTCCTGAGAATTTATCGAAAACCTGTATAGTCAAGTGTATGACTGTTAAATAAAACCTATTATTAATATTCTCCTATTTATTCGCTTATTTTATTTTATTTTATAATATTTTATTTTATTTTATTTAACCAACGTTGAAAAGCCGGCCGAAATTAGAATTAACGACTAATATTCAACAACTCCGTAGCCTTGTAATTTTGAACCCAATTCAGAGAACGAGGGAACTCCTGGATCAAGTATTGGGAGAAATTTGCCTTCGTGGAGGACTTTTTGATTTAACTCACCCGTATTTGCGGTACACGGAGAGGAAAACCATGAAAACACTCCCATGGTTAGCCTGACGGCAAGAGGACTCATAATCCACCTACAACTGAGGATATTTTACGTCAGCACTGTGGTCGGTGCCAGGCGGGTGCGGAATTTGAATCGTAAAGCTATCGATGGGATTTGAACCCGGTTCGCCTCATTGGAAGACCAGTGCTCTATCTCCAAATCCACCATCGCTCTTCATTCGATTATTTAACAACACAATCGATTTTTCTTGCTTGTATTAAAAAATTTCTGAAATTGTAGTTGTTTAAAATTATCTCCATAGATAATTTATTGCTCTCGTAAAGTAACACAAGCCACAGGTTGTATAATTTTAACTTCTGTACTATGTTTTTTTAAGCGTTCTCGTAGCGCAATCGGTTAAGGTGTCGCTTTCACTGCTGGTGGTATGTGCTGGGAGATGCGCGTTAAACCTGTTATGACTGAAAGTCTCGTTAATTATGGTGGGGAATTAGCTCATGAACTGTTCACGTCATCTGATCAGGGTCAGAATTATGTGGCATTTTTACCATGACTTTCAGAAGATCGAGCCCTGAAAAACGGACTGGGTGATGTAATGGTTCTTGACTGTATTTTCACAACAAAATTGGTTTTCAAGGTTCAAAAAAAATTTCATGCATTCATTCAAAGATTAAATTAAATTTAAAAACAAAATCTCCCAATTTAGCTTTACTTCTGAGAGCATGTGTCAACTAGATGAAAATAATATTTTTATTTGAAGCTCAGAGGGGAACTAGCTACGTCTTATTTAGAAGTAAGTTGGATTTCAGACTCATAGTAATCACTTTTATGTAGTATCCGATTGGAAAGTCCCTATAGCAGAATGTCTTGCATTTTTTTGCAGCATTTGGAAAGTAAAAATGTTTCATTGTACGCATAACTGTACTCTAAACGATAAATTTTACCAAGTAAGCCCAGCCCTCGTAAATATCTTTAATTGCCAGTTTTAAGATTAAAAAAAACGAATAGCGATTGTGTGATGCATAAATTATTTGAATACAATTAGTTCAAATGAGTTTTTTAAATGCAGGACTGTGAATTGCGATGCGTCATAAGTTAATTGGAGAAAAACGAATCAGGATATGCGTGATTCGTAAACACTTTAACGTGGATTTGCGAATCACACGTGCGATTAGATTATGGTGTTGGATGAGAGATGTGAATAAAAATCACACGATGTATCCGATTTGTGAATTTTGTTAACATAAATTGTTCATCATTTCAAATGCGTTTCATAAACGTTTATGCGAATTCAAATGTGTGATTTGTAAACTGCTTTAACATGAATTAAAAGCTCTGAACTCCTGCAGTTGTTGAAATGGGTACCACGTGACGGTCAATAGAGTTTGTTTTACTGAAACAGTTTTTCAAGAAATGATATTTTCTGCTTTGAAGATTAGGTGTAAAAAGAATAAATTATGTAATTCATGATTTTTTTAAATTTTTCAATTTATTGTATCAGAATTTATTCAAAATGAACCATTCATTTTCCATGTATTCGTAGGTGGTTTTAGAACCAACAAGAGGGCCACGGAATTAACAATTTTTTCAGATAAATTGTACTTAATTAGTACTTTAAACTTACTACTTGCGTAATCCAAAGGGAATTTTAAATTTTAAATACTTTTATCAGGTTTTCGAATAAAATTAATTACCTCGAGCTAAAATGAAGCGAAATGTAAAATAAATTATGCACGTAAAATTTCCAAGAAGTGTTCGCCTTCGAGTTACAATTTCAAAATGCTCTTCGCTCTTAATAAAACATATAGTGATTATATGTTATAAGAAAGTGGAAGTTACTTTCTCAATTAGAGAAAGTATTTCAAACATCAAAATAATTTTTCTAAAAATTTGTAATTACTTGCCAACTTCCGTTTCTAATTATTAAATGTTTCAAGAAATTTATTACTTCGATAATAAAACACAGATGCAGTTTGAGTTTGATTTTGTAATTAATTTATTCGAACTTTGCGACGGAGCATGAACAGTTTTTTTATTTAAAGGAGCAAATGAATTTCGTTAGTTTGATATTTTGTGATAACAGTTACATGATATATCAGGTAAAAATAAAGAGGAAAAGTTAATTATACTCACTCACTGATGAAATCTTTGAAAGTTTCACTCCACTCGGTTGATTTCTTGAGGGTGGGAGGGGGATTTCTATGAATAATAAATTTGATTCATTTTACAATTTTCACTTAATTTTTTTTCCACATAAAAATATTGATTTGAAGACTCCCTTAAGTTACATTTTCGAAAATTTCCTCCGAAGAAGATATTTCAATGAATTTGATTTAGTCATGTATACTTAATTGGCGAATAAAAGTTTCGAATATCGTTTGCCACATTGTTTTAGCTAACGCTCATGGATTTAATTTGTTCTATGAATACAAATATGTTAAAATTTATTAAAAGATTTAGGATACTCTTATTTAATATTTAATAATTTGTGGCATAAAGGAAAAACAAAAAGCAGGTTGCTGCGGAAATGCGTAGAATATAATAAAGAATGGAAAATTTAAAAAAAAAAGAAAATTTTTTTTTTGAAAATTAAGAAAATTATATATATATATATATATATGCGAGCAAAAGTTGGCTCTTTGTCGAACTCAACTGCGTGATCAACCTTTGCGGCATTTCAACTTATCTTTCTATACCAAAAAATAAAATTACGTGCGGGATATAGGAATTCAAAAAAAACTGGAAAAAATGGGAACCTAGTTGCCAAATTTTTAGAGCATAATATTGTGAATTTTGTGAAACTTAATGCTTTTTAATGTCAGCATACTTTAGTTCTTGCCTTTACAAAGCCACTTTTATAGTAAGAAAATAAATGTTTTCAAAATACTTAAAGATATAACGACCAATTTTCAAGCTCCCCCCAAATAGTATAAAAAAAAGAACGAAGAAATTATTCTATATTTACGTTTATTTAGCGTGCCAGTAGTGCAGAGTTTTAATGTTGTGTTAGTTCAGAGTTCAGAAAATAATATTTTATACGTTCAAGCGTTGTTACTTTTTTAGCTAATATGCTTTTGGAAAACAAAAATTATATAGAATTTTAGAGCTTCCTACTTTTGCAAATCTTTCTCTTATTTTCCTTATTTATAAATCGATATGTGCGTTATTGTTTCTAAAAGATAAAGCAAAAAATTTAATTATTCTATCAAGAACAACATTCAAACTAATTTTGATAAGTAATGTCAAGCATTTGTGTTATTCTAAATATAAAAATAAGTTAAAATATGAAGGAAATATGTTTGGCTGTAAAAGAGTCTCCAGAAATGCCAAAGCTGATATTCTGAAATGGAAAGTGTTTGAAACGTTTGGCACGCTTTCAAATAGCCCATGAATGCTTACACAGATTAATTAAACTAAATGAAGCGTGTATTAAGGAGTATATCTTTAGTGCGTTCTAAACTTCAAAATTAACAATATTGTTTTAAAAAATATATATATTTTAAGAATTTTCTTCAAATTGAACAAATAACTTTCATTTAAATGACTTTAATAAATTTTAATTTTTACAAAATGTGCATTTCTCAAGTGTAATCATTTCTTATCTATTCTTCTTCTGTATTGAATTATTTGTATCGCTTCTTTTCGTGAAATTTTGACAAAATTTGATATTTATATTTTTTTGCATTTAATAACTTATTCCTTTTAAAGTATAAAACAAATAGTAGCAAATAGTAAACAAATAGTAATTAAATAATAATAAAACAAATAGTAACTCATTAAAGAAATACAATTTCCAGTAAAGAACGAAAGTTTTATAAATTTCAAAAAGTCAACAAAAGTTTTATTAAAAAACATCATTAAAAGTGACATTTTTTAAACAATCTAACAATTGTATTAAAACTTTAATAAATTATAATCATAAAAACGTATTATTTTGCTTGCATGTTTTGTACAAAAAAAGGGTAAGAATTCTAGAAAATATAATTTAAATTTAAATGAAGTCAAAAATATATTTATATTTATATCCGATGTTTTACTTGAACGACACGTTTTTTACAAACNAGAGTTAAACAGTAGTAGTCGTTAATCTTAAGTCGTTAATCTTAATCTTAATCTTAAATCGGCTATATGTATATATATATCGAAAGCACGCACGTTTTATTATTCTATAAACATGCATATTTCTCACTCCAGTGTCGTATTCTTCACTCATTCTTGTGTTTTAACTATGTTTAAATACGATCCAATTCACCAAAGTCAAACTCTTTTATTAAAATTAAATATAATTTTATACATGCGTTTTTACGTATTTTTTTTTAAAAAAAAATACAGCGTAGAGTGTACTATAAAAAACCATGTTATTTAATTATTATCATTCTTTTCTCTGCTAAAATTATTTTAATGTCACTGAACGTTGAAAAATTATTTATGTATTTCATCTAATATCATTGTTCATTACACCACAAAACGGGAAATAAAGATATTAAAAATCACACACAAATGAAATAAAGTTACACCCTGATTGCATTTTGAGGCTGTCAATAACCTCCATCAAACTTTGCTTCCCCGATCATGTTCTATGTTTATAGAATGTTTTGAAAAAATGAAATGAAATCAACTTCACATAAAGAAGTCAAATGTTTGGACGGAGAGCTTATATTTCTGTCAATTTGCTTATGCCTGTTTTACGTCATATACCGCCTGTTTAACACAAACAATAAAACATTGCCTTCGAAACAAAATACTGTTTAACTCACTCTTTTCTTTCATAAGAAGCAAACTATAGTTGACATAATCCATAACAAAGTTTAAGCTTTCCTTCAAATTTAGTTTATTAATTCCCTTCTCAAACGAAATTATACTTAAAAATCCCCACCGGCTCCTTCCTGCCAATAGGAAGAAGTTTTAATCACAGAGAGTCACGTATTTGCGTGGAAGGCTTTTGATTCTTTTATAAATGAATTGTTCCTTAAAAACAAATTTCATTAATTAGGTTAAACCTTAAAATAAATGAGAAAAGGTTGAAATAGAATCCCAACTACACTCCCTCTCCCCCCTCTCATGAAAGGACGCCGCGGCCGCCGCTGCATAATCAGGTTAAGTCAAGCATAATGAAAATGCAATGAACAACAGCTGACGTTTACATGTTTATCTACTGCATGCAAAAGCTTTCATTTTTTTGTTCTTTTTGCAATCTCATTTTGAAATTATGCTTCCTCTCTTTCTTTTAGTCGTAACAATTTGCCTTTTTATTCGTATTGTTGAAGAGAGAGCAAAATTAACTCTCTCTCTCTGTGTTGGAAAAATAAATACGGGTAGCTCTCTATTCCTGCTTTTACTTTAAATAATAGCGCAGGTCACATACGCTTAATGTAAAAGAGTTTTCGTTGCACGCGAGATTTAACTTCATTACGCTTGATTGAAAAATGTAATACACCTTTTGCGGAATTAAGAGTTGAAGGGCATTTAGAAGACAATTTTGTTGTCTTTTTCTCACGGATATAAAAAGAGCACCTATAGGAAAAAATAATTCTAATCAAAATTTTTGAAAATTCTCGTGAAAAATAACCTCAGAAATATATTTACTTCCCCTTTATAATTAAAGCTGCTTCAAAGCAAAAGAAATGAAATGAATTATCTTAAATTCTTCTTTTTTATTTGCAGAGAGTATTTTAGTTTATTTCTAACACTGACTACGTTTTTCAATATAATTTTTGCAATTATTTGCTAATATTTTCTTAGAAATTGTCCTTCAAAGATCCGTTAGTGACAAAAGCAATTCTATTTTTATTTCTGTGGCCCGGTACTATTTTTAGTAAATAAAGAAGTGCAAATTCGTACGATGATAAATCAAAAGTGACATTGTATATTTAATTAATATAAACTCTATTATATTCTAAAATAAAAAATCTTAAAAACCAGTTTGAAGATGTAACATGAAAATAATAAAATGAATCTTATCTAGACGATTTGTGGCTATAACAGCTGAGTAAAATTAAAATTTTTTAGCATGAATGTTAAAGAAAATACAATTATATACATTTATTTTATAAACAGAAGGAAAATATAATAATAAATGATAATAATAATAATGATTTAGTGATTAGAAAATATTTTCATTGTTAAAATATTTGTTTTTGTTGCGAATACTTAAATTTTCTGCAGATATAAACGCTTCGTTTTGGTTTTGGTGACAATAGTCGTCATTTTGATGTTGGCTCCAACAATTAAAATCACGTCAAGCTAGTACCGTCAACTAAGATTCTACCGATAACAACTCTATAAAAATATTTTTCTTATCGTTTTTTTAATTTTTGAAAAAAGCAAAAAGAAAAAATTGCGATCACAGGTCACCCATAGATAGGTTACCACAGCAAAGCATGCAAAGACGACGCTGACGTCAAATAAGATGCGCAAGCCATCAAACCCAAAACAAGACCCATTTTGCCAATGGGTAATAAATCTATAAAAGCGCTTAGAGACAGCAGTAACTCAAAATTCGTCTTCAAATATATTTACGTAAAAATAGGGAATTATACTAAATTGAAATCGAATAAAAGAAACATGAATGTAATACAGAACTTCATCAGGGAAAAATCGGCATGTATTCCTGTGGGAGCTGTGAATTACTGTGCAGAAAAAAAGAAGATATTATTCGCATCCCAATTTTGAAAATTGGGAAGTGAAATTCAAAAGTCCAATTTTGAATTTCAAAAATACCTAAAATTTAAAATAAATAATTAACTGGAGAACATTATTATTTCAAATATATTGCTATGCAAAGTTTAATCGCCCTCAGTTTTATGATCATAAAAAATTCGAAAAAAAAATCTGTTTAAAACTAGTTTGAAGATGTAACATGAAAATAATAAAACAAATCTTGAAAAAAGCTAAAAGGCGCCATAAATCTGAAATTTGTCTTCAAATATATTTATATGAAAAATAGAGAATTATATTAAATTGAAATAGAACAAAAGAAACACAAATGTCACACAGAACTTCCTCAAGGAAAAATCTGTAATGCATTCATCTGGGAGTTGTGAATTATTGTTCGTAAATTCGTTCAAACATAAATCAAAAGTGATATTGTCTATATAATTAATAAAAACTAAATTATATTCTAAAATAAAAAAATCTCTTAAAAAACCAGTTTGAAGATGTAACATGAAAATAATAAAAAAAATATGGAAAGGCGCTAA